GAGCTTTTAAATCAAATCTTCTTTACCTCATGTGTAATTTGTCTAAAATATTTTCTTCATTATGTTATCACATTAAGAATTCTTTACTCAGCAGATCAAGTGTATCTTGCATGTGACAGCCATGATTTAAACCAGCAGTTCTCAACCAGGGGTGATTTTGTCCCCATGGGACATTTGGCAATGCCTGGAGACATTGCTGGCTGCCACAACTAGTGAGGGTGGGTGGATATGGATGGCATCTAGAGGTCAGAGATGCTGCTAACCATTCTCCAATGCACAGGTCAGCTCACCTCCCTTCCACCCCCCCACCCCCCCGAAAAGGTCAATAGTGCTGAGGTTGAGTAAATCTTATTTAGATCTTGCTCTGGTTAAGAATATAGAAGCCATATGGAAGCAAATGCTGCAAAATAGCTCAATTTTGTACAACATAACACATATGAAGGGCAATGGTGCTTTTCTTCACTTGAAATCTACTGTGCAGATCTATTTTAGGATCTTGTACTGTCCATCAGAGTCTGCATTAGCCTGTAATAGTGAAGCATCAGAAATTAAAGTACCTGTGTTTGTGCTTCCTCTGATCCCTGCCCAGGATATTAATTCTTCAAGGACAGGAGCAATTTCACTGTTTTGTAGTGAACCCAATCCCCAGCTTAGTGACTGGTTAATATTGACTGCTTTGCCTTGTTATACAAGCTGTTTTCAAACAGAAAAGCAAAGATGACTATTCACCATCCAAAATGTGCCTGTATGTCTAGTGAAGATGACAATAACTATTCTCTTATCTTAGATTTATAAGAATAATAATACACAGTATTCCCCCCACCCTTTCTTATTTGGGAAGCTCCTTCGTTATGACTATAACATCTTTAATTTTAACCCTTAACAGATAGCTTCTACCTATCTGCTCCTAGATATTTCTCCCTAAGTATCTTTCTAATTTCACAAATTCATAATGATCAAATTTTAACCCACATATTTCCTGTGTTGTTTTCTTTTAAAGACTTAAAGAGCTGTATCAATGCAGTGGGTTGAGTATGTTCCCCGAGAAATTCTTGTCTACCCAGAACCTCAGAATATGACCTATTTGGAAATATAGTCTTTTCAGATGTAATTAAGTTAACATGAAGTTGTACTGGATTAAGGTAGGCCCTAAATCCCAACACTATTGCCCTTATAAGAAAATAAGCAGACACTCAGAGAGAGAAGGCAAGTGAAGATGGAGAGCAGAGGTTGTAGTCATGTGTCTATAAGCCAAGGAATGCTAAGGATTGCCAGCAACCACCAGAAGCTAGGTGAGCAGCATGGAACAATTTCCCTCAGAGTCTCCAAGAGGAACCAACCTTTCCATGTCTTGGTTTTCAACTTCTTGCCTCCTAAGCTATGAGAGAATAAATTTCTATTGGTTTAAGGCACCTAGTTTGAGGTAATTTGTTATGGAAGTCCCAGGAAACTATTACACGTGGCCATGAGAATATGCCTTGCAGTCCTCCAACTACAGGTACCATAACTGTCCAAAGACCCCAGCTGCTGTTCTGATATCCACAGTGGCATTTTCCCTGGGCCTTATTTCCCACAGGCTGCTCCCTGCCAGTGACCAAGCACAGCAGACAAATGAAGCAGACAAATTCCTGGGAGGCACAGACTCTTCAACAGTCAACTTTGACTCAAAGTCTCTTCCACAGCCTTGCCTGGGATGCTGTCCCGCAGGCATCTTTCCCTCTCTCCTCTGGAATCAGTCTGCATCGTGGTCCAATGGCCCTCTCGCTTTCCCCAGTTTTTATGATTAGTTTTGCCCTAATAAAATCCATATACATTTAATTTTACCTTGATGTCTACCTCCTGGAAAACCCAGAGTAACTCAGAAGAGAATTACAAATGCTGATTTCTGTTTCAGAAAATAGATTCCTGTGCTTGGTTTGTGGAAAGTGGATTAGAATTTGGCAAGATGAGAACTGGAAAGACCAAATAAAAAGCTAACGTAGTAGCTAAAGCAGACAGGCTTGTGGCTGGCAATACACTAGTAGCAGCAGCAAGTACAATGGTCAGATTCCAGCTATAGTTTGGCAGTAAAACTTATGAAATTTGGTGATGACTCTATATGAGGCTGTGGGAAAAATTAGTGTCAAGGTTTATTCCTTAATTTTTAGCAGGAGCAAATGCAAGGATGTTGGTGACATTCACTGAGATGTAGAAGACTAAAGCAAGAGTAAGTCCAAAACTAAAAGATTAAAAGTTTGGTTTCAGATACATTAAGATCAAAATTATTTGGAGATGTCTAAGCAGAGATGTCAAGTAGGGAGTTAAGGATTAAGTCATGAGGCTTAGCGGAGAGGACCAGACTTTTGTATGAATTTGGGAGATATCAGAATATAGTGTTTAAAGCTGAGGAAGTAATCAGAATCTCCTAGAAAAGAATGTAGAGTGTGCAGTAAATGGGCGGTCGTGAGGCCTTCCAAAAATGTAAAGTTCAGGAACAGAAGGAGATGCTGACAATGGGGTCTGAGAAGGAATGACAAGAGAGGTAGGAGGAAAAGTATGAACATGGTATCCAGAAAGGGAGGAGAAGAGAGCATTCTAGATAAGTGGAAGGTCAGGTAGTCACATGCCCCTGCAGATACCAGGAAGATGATTTAAAACTTCCCACTGGGTTTGGAGATGGGCACTTTGGTGATCTGCATTTTGGTGGAGTGAGGAGGATGGGAAGCAAGATGAGAAGGACCTGGATTCAGGTCAAGTTGACTGTTAACTAAAAAACCTCTCTGCTCCCAAAACACACCACTGATAGAAAATATATTATTTTTATAATAAAAAGATAAAGCCATGGAGATTTCCCTTTAGGTTGGTATTTTTGAACTCATACTTTAAGCACTTTCTGAACCCTGACTTATTAATGTTTTTTTTTTATAAATAACTATAACCATGGTAAAAAAAAAAAAAAGATAAACTTTTATGTATACCAGGAAACCAACAGAAACACACAACAATAATGGAAGCCAAAACAATGCATTTACTGGATCAGGAATCAAAGGAGACAAAGGCAGAGCAGAGCTATCCACTCCTCGCATCACATTCTGAGCTCTCAGCCTTGAAGGATACTCACCACATGAAGGCAGGGCAACTGTCTAGCTGGCATTCATTCAAATGAACACATCCACTTCTGAAATATTGAAATACTTCTGCACTGTTAATAGCCTCTAACCATGACCCCCAAAAGTATTATTTTAGACATCAAATTATATAAAATTCAATGTACAAATTCTTAGAGTATACTCACCATCTTATCTCTCTGAACTTCTTTCCCACTTTACTACATTCTTTGGTCCTTCCTGGTAAAATCCACCCCTCCCCCCACTTTCCTTCCAATATCTCTATTATAATCTCTTCAACTTAAATAGAGACAATATTATTCATCATGTTTGGCTACTAGAGATGTTTGTGCATAAGCTCAGTCTCTGCTGTCACTTCAGTTGGATCCTGGTGACTATCTTTTTAAGAGAAAAGAGACCACCGGAGGTTCTAGTCCTCAGAAAGAGAGACTGTCAGTCTATTCTAGCCTAATGAAGTACTATTCAAGTTTAAAGTCAATGAAATCCTTAAAAGGTTAATATATGGTATTCAAATTACAAATGCTCAATATAATCAAGTTACTTACTCTTTATGGATAAAAGACTAGAAACAAAATGTGATATAAAGTTTATCTAGGACATTACTTAGCATTTATTATGGATGATAAAAGATGTCTTTTAAGAAAAAGATTACATGTTTTCGATCTATGGGATATTTACAAGCACATGTCTCCAAGTCAAAATTAATACTGAAGTCCACATAGTTAAGGACTAAGATACAAGTGCACATGAAATGATTCTGGGAGTGTTCTCCCATAATAAAACCAGAGCCAAGCAGTATCAAAACAATATCATTGTGAACTCTTTAATGAACCAACTATCGTTGGGTAGTTTGGGGAGCCATACAAAGACACTGATTACCTTGACCCACAAAAAGAGCCCTGGATAATTTTGTTTGTAGTAATGAAGTATTTATAGACATACTACATATCGCAGAAATGCTCCAGCTACCTGAAGAAAGGGCATGCATACTAAAGAGGAGGAAAATAAAACAGAAAACATTCTTATATAAATAACTATGCCTTAATAGCAATACCAAGGGCCATGTAGCTTTCTTGCCAATGTTTAAGATGTCAGTAGGGGGCATGTACTCCTGGCAGAAGAATAAATCTTCAGAATATTCAAAAGGTACATGTCCTGTTTTCAGTATATATAACAGGAGAGAAGGGTTTTTCCCTTGGACCTCCAGGTGCAGTTGGACTGCCAGCAAGTCAGAATAATGAGTGGCCTAACCCCATACATGCCCTGCTCTCTGTACCCTGGGCAGGCATTTGTCAGGGTGTAAATTATTTACAGTGGTCTCCAGATGCCCTGGAAAGTTAGTGTATATCCTTGAAAGGAAAAGAAAAGAGAAATCCAGAAACAAATATTACGGAAAATAGAGGCTAAGTAAAGGTATATTCTAAATATTACAGGTTGTTCTGATAGGAAAATACACACAAAAGTACATTCTTGCCAACACCAAGTAAAACATTAGAATCTAATTATTCAGTTCTCTATTCCTTTCTTGTCACTTTAAACTCTAAGAATATGAATAGCAATGTTTAAATGTCAGCATTGAAAATAGATAATGGCTTAAGGCCACATCACTTTAACATATCTTCACCGAGTGATAACAGACACCTAAGAAATGCATAATTAGATAATTACTTGTACTGACTCCATCTTCTAAGGACTTCCAAGAATATTAAAAATTGTAAAAGATCAAAGATGTAGCAACTTTAACTCGTCAATGAAACTCAAGTGTAAAATAGCACTATACTGACACTGGCATCCTGGTTTATGGGAGGAGGAAAGGGAAAGAAGGAAACCAATCATCCGTATTAACCAACAAATCAATGGTCTGAATGTTTTCCATAGAAAGTAACAAAATACCTGATCATTTGAAGCTTCAGTGATAAAGTGATTCCATTTCCTCACGTAACAAGAAGTTTGATGAAGCAGTTCTAAAACTGGTTCCATAGTGCAACTATGCCAAGCCACTGGATCTGTGAGAACAATTTTAGTATTCTTATGCCCTCAAGGTGCCTGCTGCCATCTCCAAGCAGGATGTCCCATTGAGGGATGCAGTGTGAGTAGACGAAGTCCTGAAGGGGGAGCCCAGAGACAGGGGAGATGCTTTACGTGATGGCATCCAAAGCTGGAAGAGAAAAAAGAGTAGAAAACCATCTTCCAGAAGTCTTCTCAGAAGATTTCCCAGTACTTCTCATGAATTAAAACTAAATCACATACTCACACTGAGACCAATCAGTGGCTAAAGGAATGGGATTGACACACTGGATTAAACAAACCAACTTCACCTCCTGGGACTCAGTCATTGAGGCCAGAATAAAATCAGAGTATTGCTAGCAAAGAAGGGAGAATGTTTGTAGTGTCTTCCATGACTATGCTTTGTATAGTAGAGGTCAAAATATTTGGCTCTATGGGATGTTTTAAGAAAAGTAATTTCTCTTTCTCTTTCTTTCCAAAGTAATGCAGAGTTTCAACTTTACAAATGTAAGCAGAATGACCTCCATACCAGCATATAAAGCACTAGGAGATAGGTGCTTGTGTACTTTCTGAGGAATTTAGATTCCCCAATCATATGGAACTCATAGATTACAGTCAGCACTATGGCTTCGCCAAAAGGGAATAATCAATTAGTACAGTCTCTAGAACACAGAGTAGTTGTGAGAAATACAGCTAAGTAGAGCACACACATATCACTGGCTTCCACTTCTGAGCAGATGTCCAGTTCTAAGCACAACCCATTGCAATAATCTAATCAAAATATATCAAAGGTGACGCTAAATGCAGCAAGGAATTTCTGTGCTAGCAAGTTAAACACTGATTATTCCCCAAAATAGAGTGGCCAGTTTAGATTATATCAAAGAAGTAATAAACATCATCTCCTTGAACTCCAGATGGAACCAGAAATATAACTCAGCTTCAGATTTAAACAATTTACTCTAAGCTTTGTTACTTTCTTTCTTATTTCCACTTGACTTGGATGCTGTGCTAGAATTAGTCATATGAGAATACAGTGTTATTTGCAGTAGGTCCTGCAGTTGTAAATCTGAAATTCTAAGCACAGTTCTGATCTCTCGAGATTGTGAGCTAATTCATTCACTGTCCTCCATGGTGAACTATTTTACTGCCTAAGATAAGAGATAAATGAAAGAGTTCTTCACAGCCTGTTGGGAACACAGAGATGTAAACAATTACAAGGTGGTGTGAAAGAAGAAACAATCTGGAAAAAGGAGAGCATGCCACACAGCAATGAGGTTAAAGCAGTACAATGTACTCAGGATGGGCTTTGGAGGTAGGCAGAAAGTGGTACAAATCTAGCCTGGGCTGCTTGCTCGCTGCGTAACAGTGCATGTATTGCTGTCTCTCTCTAAAACACAGGAAAAAAATGTGATATTACTACCAGGCAGGGAGGTTTTAAGCATCAAATGATATGAAAACTCTTGAGTGTCTGGCACAATTCCCCACACAGAGGAGAAGCTAGATAAATACTCTTCCTTTCTCTTCTTGTTCCTCTCCATTCCCCAGGGGAAAACTAGGTCAGCTTGCTCTGGAGGGCAGAGGGTCTAGGATGAGGCATAATGGAACCAGGACTCAACTACCAGAGAGATCAGTGCTTAAAATTTTTTTGAACAAATTCAAATTAAGGTCAGAAGGAAGAGTTGGGAGATATACACTCCCTATTTTCTTTCTGTACAATTATTATTACAAGCTTTTGGTTATTTTTAACATGTTTATTGAAGTAATATTGATATACAAAGAAATGCACATATTTAATATGTACAAAATTTGATGAGTTTGGACATATGCAAACAATCATGATACTGCTGGGGCTCAGAAACTGATACTCCAAAATATGGCACTTTGCACATATTGGACTGGAAAAAGAAAAAGCTTCAAGTTCTCTCTGGCCTCCGCCCACCCACCCACCCACCCATGGTCTCTTCAAACATAAGATGAAGTTGTTCTCTGAAGTTCCCTGATCCGCCTAAAGTCCAGACCTACCAAAGAAGAAAACAATTACTTCTGGCCCCTGAGTTTTCATTAACTGAACCCATATCACAGGAAGAATGATGAAAGCCTGTAGACAAACCTGGACAGACTCTTGTTGCAAACTATTGTCTACTCTGTGGGTCCAACAGACTTTGACCATTGTATTAATATGCTCTTCAAGCCCATTCATTTCTCCCCCGCCCCCCGAATCACTTGTTGCCCCACTACAGAATTCCTCTCCTCCCCGTCTCAGCACTGTTTTGCCAGAAACCAAGCCCCCATTCTTTCTGTAACTTCAAGATGGTATGTATGCTTCTGCATCCCATTAGAGGGGTGGATATTCATTCTGAAGACTCCTTAGTCAATAGGTAAAACTATTATCAAATAAATTTATATGCCTCTTCTCCCATTAATCTGCCTTTTGAGTTGATTTTTCAGCAAACCTATAATATGATCATGATAATCAAGGATCAAGGTATACCAACCACCTCCCAAAGTTGTCATGTGTCCCTCTGTTTGTTCTTTGTTTGTTTGGTTGGTTTTTGGCTTTTTTTGTGGTGGAGGATGTTTGGTTTTTGGCTTTTTTTGTGGGGGAGGATGTTTGGTTTTTGGCTTTTTTTGTGGGGGAGGATGTTTGGTTTTTGGCTTTTTTTGTGGGGGAGGATGTTTGCTTGCTTGTTTTTGGTAAGAAAATTTAACACGAGATCTACCCTCTTAGCAAATTTTGAAGTGCACAATACCATATTGTTAACTATAAGCACTATATTGCACAGCAAATCTCTAGAACTATTCATCTAGCATAACTGAAACAATACCTATTAAACGACTCCTAATTTTTCCAACCCTCTCCCCCTAGCCCCTGGCAGCCACTATTATACTCTTCATTTCTATGAGTTTGACTAATTTAGATAGCTCATAAAAGTAAAATCATGCACTATTTGTTCTTCCGTGTCTGTTTTATTTCACTTAGCATAATGTCCTCCAGGTTCATTCATGTTGCCACAAATAGCAGGATTTCCTTTTTTTGTTAAAGGCTGAATAATAGTCTATTGTGTATTTATGCCACATTTTCTTTATCAAGATATTTTAAGAGCCAGACTAGGGTATCATAGGCCATTGGTATTTGCTAATTTGTTTTATTCAAAAGTAAAATCTTTCTCATGCCTTTGTGACAGAAGGTAGTTTTACAACTTGGGGCAAATTGGCCCACTAAAGTTAAGCTCCTACCCTCCCTCCGAGAATAGCAAACAGGGACCCTATCTTCCTTGATGATTGAGTTTCAAAGGGACAGCTCCTGGTCCTTAAGAAACTCTCCTAGGTTGTAAAACTGGCATGCAGCTTTTAAAAATATTTACATTTCAAAGGGGCAGAGTAAGAATTTGCAAGTACAAATTTTCTAAAGTAATTGCCCTAATAAAAGGGAGGAAAGGGACTTCTTCAGCAATTAGGGTCTCAGGACTCTGTAAGGGCAGGGGTAAAAAGGAGGTCAGGGGCCTTCAAGGAGAAAGAAGCCTATCTAAAATCAACAAAAGCTGAGGGAAATACTACAGCCATCTTTTTTTATATACTTTTTTTTATTTCAGCATATTATGGGGGTACAAATTTTAAGGTTCCATATAATGCTCTTGTCTCCCCTCCCCTCCCAAGTCTGAGCTTCAAGAGTGACCATCCCCCAAACGGTACACATCTCACTCATTATGTATGTACACACCCATCCCCCCTCCCCCCTCCCCAATACCCAATTAATGTAATTCCTATGTGTCCACTGAGGTGCTGATCAGTTTGCTGCTGAGTATATGTGGTGCTTGTTTTTCCATTCTTGAGATACTTCACTTAGTAGAATGGATTCCAGCTCTATTCAGGAAAATACAAGATGTGCTATATCACCATTGTTTCTTAGAGCTGAATAGTACTACATGGTATATATATATATATACACACCACATTTTATTAATCTACTCATGTATTGATGGGCATTTGGGTTGTTTCCACAGCTTTGCAATTGTGAATTGTGCTTCTATAAACATTTGAGTGCAGGTGTCTTTTTTGTAGATTGTCCTTTGTTCTTTTGGGTAGGTGCCCAGTAGTAGGACTGCTGGATCAAATGGTAGATCTATTTGTATCACTTTAAGGTATCTCCATATTGCTTTCCACAGAGGTCGAACCAGTTTGCAGTCCCACCAGCAGTGTAGAAGTGTTCCTATCTCTCCACATCCACACCAACATTTATTGTTTTGGGACTTTTTGATAAAGGCCATTCTTACTGGAGATAAGTGATATCTCATTGTGGTTTTGATTTGCATTTCCCTGATGATTAGAGATGTTGAGCATTTTTTCATATGATTGTTAGCCATTATTCTGTCTTCTTTAGAAAAGTTTCTGTTCCTGTCCTTTGCCCACTTTTTGATAGGCTTGATTTTTTCTTGCTGATTTTTGTGAGTTCTAAGTAGATTCTAGTTATCAGCCTTTTATCAGATGTGTAGGATGTGAAAATTTTTTCCCATTCTGTAGGTTGTCTGTTTGCTTTCATGACTGTATCTTTGGCTGTGGGGAAGCTTTTTAGTTTGACCAGGTACCATTTATTTATTTTTGTTGCTGCTGTGATTGCCTTTGGCATCTTCTTCATAAATTCTTTGCATAGGCCAATGTCTAGGAGAGTGTTTCCAACATGTTCTAGAATTCTAATAGTTTCATACCTTAGGTTTAAGTCTGTTACCCAGCATGAGTTGATTTTTGTGAGAGGTGAAAGGTGTGGAAATCAACTCACGCTGGGTTACGACCATCTTGGTCAACAGGAAAAAGCAGAAATTTTTAATTTTGATTAAAGTCCAAGTTATCAATAATAATCCTTTATGGTTAATGCTATTTCCTATCCAAACAAAAAAACAAAAAACTTTGTTCATATGGAGCTAACCAAGATTATCTTCTATGTTTTCTCTAAGGATATTATAGTTTTAGCTCTGATATTTATGCCATTGATCCCTTTGTAATTAACTTTTATATGTGAGCGATAGGGTTAATTTTTTTCTTTCCATATGGCTATCTTAGTGTAAGTATACCATTTACTGAAAAATCTACTCTTTAGCCATTGTATTACCTTGACACTTTTATCATTGATCAGTTGACCAGTCATGATTAGGA